CAGAACGTGTTCGGAGAATGATGTTTTCTGGTAAATACTTCCCCTATACTAAACCTTTCTAGCTTATATTGTTTGTTTTACCCTTATTTAGATGTCTGTAACTGTGTTTTGATTCCTTGAAGTTCATTTATTGTGTTATGGATTCTTTATGGTTTTACCTTAACTGCTGCTCTTCTGTAAAATAAACAGCAATGCTCCGAAATGAAGTTGGATGGTTTGATGATGAGGAAAATAGTGCAGATAACCTGTCTATGCGATTGGCAAATGATGCTACATTTGTGCGTGCTGCATTCAGCAATCGTCTTTCTATATTCATACAAGACAGTGCAGCTGTAGTTGTTGCTGTTCTTATTGGTATCGTACTGGAGTGGCGGCTGGCACTTGTGGCTTTAGCAACTCTGCCTGTTCTCACCATTTCTGCTGTAGCACAGGTTTGTTTCAATTCCTAAAGACATTGCAACGCAATATGTTTTGCTACACTTAGGATGCCCCTTTCCATTTCCTGTAGGAATCATTCAATTAATGAATCAGAATTGATTTTAGCATTGAGAATTACTTGTATTTATTAGCATTGAGATGGGCACTGTATTTTTGAACTTTGAGCAAAAAGGCTGATCACAGCATGCTTACAACTTGCAGAAACTGTGGCTTGCTGGATTTTCAAAGGGAATACAGGAGATGCATAGGAAGGCTTCTCTGGTCCTGGAGGATGCAGTTAGAAATATCTACACGGTTGTAGCATTTTGTGCTGGAAATAAGGTGATGGAACTCTATAGGTTTCAGCTGTGGAAGATATTCAACAAGAGCTTCCTCCAGGGAATGGCAATTGGTTTTGGGTTTGGCTTATCACAGTTTCTGCTTTTTGGGTGCAATGCTCTTCTCCTTTGGTACACCGGTCTTTCTGTGAAGCATAGGCGCATGAATCTGCCAACGGCTATCAAGGAATATATAGTGTTTTCTTTTGCAACTTTTGCCCTTGTAGAGCCTTTTGGCTTGGCTCCCTATATCCTCAAAAGAAGAAAATCTCTGATATCAGTTTTCGAAATAATTGATCGGGTACCCAAGATTGATCCAGATGACAACTCAGCCTTGAAACCTCCAAATGTTTATGGAACCATCGAGTTAAAAAATGTTGATTTCTCTTATCCAACTAGGCCAGAAGTCCTGGTATTGAGCAATTTCAGCCTTAAAGTCAATGGAGGACAAACTGTAGCAGTGGTGGGTGTTTCAGGGTCTGGAAAGAGCACCATAATATCTTTGATTGAAAGGTTTTATGATCCAATAGCCGGTCAGGTTCTACTAGATGGTCGAGATCTAAAATCATACAACTTGAGATGGTTGAGGAATCACTTAGGTCTTGTTCAGCAGGAGCCAATCATGTTCTCAACCACCATCCGGGAAAACATCATATATGCAAGGCACAATGCTAGCGAAGCTGAAGTGAAAGAGGCAGCTAGAATAGCAAATGCTCATCATTTCATCAGCAGTTTGCCTCATGGTTATGAAACTCATGTTGGGATGAGGGGTGTGGATCTGACTCCAGGACAGAAACAAAGAATAGCTATAGCTCGTGTTGTTTTGAAGAACTCACCTGTCTACTTGCTGGACGAAGCAAGTTCATCTATTGAATCCGAGTCAAGCAGGGTGGTTCAGGAGGCTCTCGACACTCTAATAATGGGAAACAAGACGACCATTATGATTGCTCACCGAGCAGCAATGATGAAGCACGTCGACAACATTGTTGTACTCAATGGTGGGCGGATTGTAGAGGAAGGAACCCATGACTCGCTAATGGCAAAGAATGGTTTGTACGTGCGCTTGATGCAACCGCACTTTGGAAAAGGATTGCGCCCTCATAGACTTGTTTAGACCGGACTGTAAATTGTTGTCAGTGACAGACTGATAGTGATGGGCCTCTCCCATATCTCTGCAGAAGCTGCCCATTCCTTAAACTGCTGGGAAGTATGGTAAGTTCCAGTCCCCCAACACCATTACATATCTCATCCTCAGACTGGAAATAACAGACATAAATGATGGAGGCTGCTACCAGCCTACCACCTGTTCCAGATATGGCAGAAACACATATATGGGCAGTGTTGACTCGCTGGTAGTTTTGATCGATTGAGGTCGAGAAGGGGGGGTTTTGTAGCAATCGGTTAGCTGCACGAGAATAGGATTTCAGTATTAGAAGCGTATTATTCTTTGGGAGGCAGGAAGTGATATATGAAGGACAAAATCCTGTTTCTTGATGGTATATTGATTTGCTAATTACGGAGTGGATTGAGTTAGTGAGGCAATGCATGGCTGATAGTTCAATTTTCTTATATATTTTCATTCTTGTGGGTGTACTTGTTGGTGTGGGTAGTCAACTGGTTTCTTGACAGCCATAGTTGTGTACATTTTTATTAGTGTGTAGAAAGCTGGAAATACAAGTGAAGATGAAGGAAAGACATTCAGATATTGTAATCTTTCTGTACATAAATATGATTTGAGGTGATCTCTTTAATCCCATTTTGCCTTCAAATTGCAGCCACTTTGATTTATCACAACTAATTATATGATAATTATTAATACTCTTTATTATAAGAGTTAATTAAGATGGATCTACAATTAATTGCATTAATAAACTAATGTTTTTTATAAGCCTATTAAGATGGATTTATCATATCTACCAGGGGTGATTTGGTTTTATTTGATTAATTTATAATGGAATCAATTAATTTATATGTAATTAATGAATATGATTTTGTTGTCGAGTAATATCATTTTACATGTATATCGTTGAAAAAGTATGTTTGAACGGATACTATAATGTAATAGACTCAGTAGCATTAAAAAATACATCAGTTCTTATTTTGAAAAATTATTATTTTTTACTTACAATATTACATAATTTTTTTTTCTAGTTAAAAAGAAAACAATTTTTTTTCTATAATTGCAATTTGCAATACGGAGTATATATATTTTTAAAAATAATTCAAAATAGACAAATCACGTGCATTCACGCAATGGGTTATGAAAACAAGGCTCAAACCACGTGCTTACTTAGCTGACGCATGCACATTCACAGCTTTAAGCCTTTAATTTGCTTCTCTTTTTGTATTTTGATTCCCCCTTTTGCCCCCACCCCCTTCCCCCTTGTACGGTTGGTATATTACAACTTTCTATCACATAATTATTCATGTCATCATGAATAATATATATATATATATATATATATATATATATATATATATATATATATATATATATATATATATATAGATTTTGGATCCGGTGAGGTTAGCATTGGCAGGTGAGGTGGTGAGGCTCAATCTTGTACATTTATTTTCATATTTTGACGTCTCAGATTTAATGTGGTATATTGCCTTGTGCGCTGGTTTTTTGTACATGTAGGGTCATTAATGTCTTTTTCTTTGTATCTTTATTAGGCAGTATTAATTATTTACCTGATTTTATGGGCTTGTGCAAGTTAATTATGGTTCAAATCGGATGTTTTATTTTATTGCACTTTTAATTGCCGTCTATTCAACTTCTTGGCGTCTATATATTTTTAAATCAAACGGCAAAATATATTAATTAGAATCAAAGTCCAAAACAGGAACAACAAAAACAAACGGGACTCCAAAACAGTCCATACAGTCAGACTTAGACAAGGCTTCCCGAGCTAACAGATGGGCAACCTTGTTCGTAGACCGTTTAGCAAACAAAAAGCATAAATTGGTAAAAGCTTTAGCTAATTCTCTAACATCATTTAAAATAAGGTCAAACGAAGTTTGCAGCTTCTGAGTATGAATCGATGAGATAATCTTGCTGCAGTCTGTCTCAATTTGCACAGAATCCATGTTGATCTCCTTAAGCCATTTAAGATGCATTAATAAATAAAGAAATTTTGTACTTTTAAAAAAAATAAAAAATAAAAAATATGATTATTTATATTTTATTTCAATTTGAATAACATAATATTATTAATTAAGAGCAACCACAATGGTCATATATATATATATATATATATATATATATATATATATATATATTGTGTCAAATAGAAGAGAACGAAAGGGAAAAGATGGGGAGAAAAAGGAAATTTGAAAAAATAAAGACAAAAAAAGAGTTAATTTTATCATTTTTATGCGTTCAGTGTAATTAGTACGTGAAATATGATTAAGTATTTTTTTCCTTTCTTCAATTAACTTTACAAAAAAATTCACATTACTACAACATACTCATGTGACTCACCTAAAAATTTACAAAAAATTATCATTATAGTTGCTCTAATAGCCTTACTCAAGCTTTTGTATTCTAATGATGACAATAATCTATATCAAACATTCAAACCTAACACCAAAATTGATGTCTTACCTTTTTAATGTCATCATTTTTATTCTTTTCATGTCTTTCTTTCTTTGGTTTATAAAAAAACATAATCTAATTTTAATAATGTTTAATTTTTTTTAAATAATGTTTTTAATTAGAATTTAAGAAAAATACACACATAGGTTAACACTATATATATATATATATATATATATATATATATATATATATATATATATATATATAAAATAAATCACTCATTCACGAGTTTTATGATAGTTGTAATCTAAAGCTTGAATCTGGTCCTTCTTAAGGTAGAAGAGACCCGAGACATTCTATCGACATCTCCGCATGTAATTTTTATAATAATTTATTTACATGATGTATATGTAAACAATAATTTTTATTATATATCTCAATTTTTTATTTATCTTTTACTTTAGACGGAGTAACCAAATGAGTAAAGTATGATTCTTGTATTAAAAAAAAAAAGTCACGAATTCAATTTTGGTCAACACTCCCTCAAACCAACCTATCCTACGCATACTATGATTAGTTAAACATATTAAAAGCATTTGAATTTAGTAATTAATCGATCTTAGTATATCAAATGAGAAGATATTTTTACAAATAGGGAAGAACAATAGAAATTCATTTTCCCCAGTGTGATTTAATATTTGCAACAAATGGTCAACTTAGGAATCCAGGGTTGTCAGGCAGTTATTAATGTATGGCGAAGGGGACAGTTGTGTAGTGGCTGTGTTAGTTAGTGGTCGCGTTTCCCAAAGCTTCATTCTCAGCTACTCTTCACCTTTAAACTCACTCAATTTCTTCTCTCTCACCCATCCAAAATCTTGAAAATTTCGTTGCATTGCAGTGCAATCTCTCCCAAGTCCCACCCATTTGTGTTGTTTTATGTGTACGCGACAAAGAATTTACAGGAAAAAAGTGTTCTTTTTGTTACCCACAACTTCAAGAACACACTTCTCTTCACCTTTTTCCTCCATTTTCGCCCTTCCTCTCGATCTCCCCCACCGTTTTTTCTTGGATGACCGGCCAGGTATGAAAAGGGTTGTTGTGTCTCAGTTCTTACTTGCTGCCTTGATTCTTTGAGTGAGTGAAAGATAAAGATGGGTTGTTTAAATGGGTTGTGTTTTGCTTGGTGTTTGTGGTGTGGGCTTGGGGTTATATCAGTGGTTTGTGCTGCTTTTAGCCCTATTGATGGGTTCTTGATTAGCTGTGGGAAGAGTAGAGCAGTGGAGGTGGAGGATGGTAGGGTTTTTCAGCCTGATTTTGGGAATTCTAATGTGGGTTTGTCTGCAAAATCCCACATTGTGGTCTCAAATGGTGGGAAGGGCATGTCTGATCTTTATGATTCTGCTAGGGTTTTCACTGAAAGTTCTACTTACACCATTAGAACTAAGCAGGGTGGTAGGCATTGGCTAAGATTGCATTTTTTCCCTGTTGAGAACAGTGATTATGACTTGAAGTTAGCTGCTTTTTCTGTTGTGGCAAATGGGGTTACTCTGCTTCATAGATTTTCCTACTCTAAATTGCAAGAAAATGGCCCTGTAGTGAAGGAATATGTAGTTGAGATAGGTAGATTGAGTTCAGATAATTTGGAACTTATACTGTCTCCCTGGCCTGGCTCAATTGCATTTATCAATGGGATAGAAGTGGTGTCTGTGCCTAAGGGTCAGTTTGATTCTCGGGTTGTTCCAATTCCAGATGGCTCGCCCTCACCCTCGCCCTCTGTGATCCCGTCCTCGATTGCTCTCGAGACGGTTCACAGGGTGAATATGGGTGGCCCGAGTTTGACACCCAAAAACGATACGTTGTGGAGGGGTTGGCGATCGGATTATCCATTTCTTGTTAATCCGGCTGCTGCTGTGAACATGAGCACGAACCCTAGATCGGTCAGGTACCCTGCTGGGGTCTCGGTTGAGATTGCACCGAATTGGGTTTATGCCACAGCCCAAGAAATGGCAGATGCCCAAGTGGTTGACCCGAACTTCAACCTAACGTGGGCGTTTGGAGTTGATCCGGGATTCGCTTACTTCATAAGGATGCACTTCTGTGATATCGTCAGTGATGCTCTTGGTAAATTGGTTTTTAATGTTTATGTCAATGAATATATTGCTGTGGATTCTCTTGATATCTCGAGTAAGACAATGGAGTTGTCAGCAGCATACTTTATCGATTTTGTTGTCAATATTTCTGAGGGTTTGGATAAACTTTTCGTTAAAGTAGGCCCTTCGACTTCAGGGAGAGTCCAGGCCAATGCGATTCTTAATGGTTTAGAGATAATGAAGTTGAGCGATTCTAATCAATGCCTTGATGTTGGTTGTATTGGGATATCTCATAATTCGGTGGCATCTGAGCCTAAGAAGCCTGTGATGGTAGTGATTTTCGCCTGCTTAGGAAGCCTAGCGGTTTTGGTTCTCGTTTCGGTAGCTCTTTACCTCTATTCCCGAGGTTCCAAAACATCAGAGAAGGCTAAAGTGAACCAGGTTTCGTGGGTTTCATGGGTTTCGTTTCGTACAAATGTAGGAGTTTCGGAAACCAAAGTGTCAGCAGGGAGTTTTGCTTCCTCGTCGCCTTCTCCCTTGGGGCGCGTTTTCACCTTCTCTGAGATTCTTGGAGCCACGAAGAACCTCGACGAGAGTTTGGTCATAGGAGTGGGCGGTTTTGGCAAGGTTTACAAAGGAGTGCTTGAAAACGGGGTCACGGTTGCTGTAAAAAGAGGAAACCGGAAATCCCAGCAAGGACTAGTCGAGTTCAGGACAGAAATCGAGATGCTATCTAAGCTTCGCCATAGGCATCTCGTTTCCCTGATTGGCTACTGTGAAGAGCTGAACGAGATGATCCTCGTGTACGAGTTCATGGCGGGTGGACCGTTCAGGAAACACTTGTACGGGTCTGATCTTCCCCCGCTGTCCTGGAAACAAAGACTAGAAATCTGCATTGGTGCTGCTAAAGGGCTGCATTATCTTCACACCGGGGCATCAGAAACCATTATTCACCGAGATGTGAAGACAACTAACATCTTGCTAGACGAGAGCCTCAAGGCGAAAATGGCAGATTTCGGGCTGTCAAAATTCGGGCCAGCAATCGACCAAACTCACGTGAGCACAGCAGTGAAGGGAAGCTTTGGGTATCTCGACCCAGAGTACTATCGAAGGCAACAGCTCACCGAGAAGTCTGATGTTTACTCTTTCGGGGTCGTGCTCATGGAGGCTATGTGTGCTCGTCCCGCCATCAACCCCGCTCTCCCTCGAGAGCAAGTGAACATCGCGGAATGGGCAATGCAGTGGCAACAGAAGGGCCAGCTCGAGCTAATCATCGACCCCCATCTCGTAGGCAAAGTGAGCCTCGAGTCACTGAGGAAATGCGGGGAGACAGCTGAGAAATGCCTGGCGGAGTATGGGACCGAGAGGCCTTCCATGGGAGACGTTCTGTGGAATCTCGAGTATGCGCTTCAGTTGCAAGAGACGGCTTCTGGGCAATCCATTGACGACGAGAACAGCTCGAGTTACATCCCAGACATACCGTACTTGTTTCCTCGTACTGAATCTACTGATGAAATCGATGTTGTTAGCAATGGAGAATCATCTGATATATCCACTTCAACAGGAGTGTTCTCCCAGATCTTGAATCCAAAGGGAAGATGATGAGGAGGAGCAAAAGCTTATATGATCTCAGGACTTTTAACAGTTCTTGTCATCATTGAACAAATCAAATATTATTTTCTAGTTTTCAGAATAGGGATAGCAATTAAGTTTTATGGCAATATATATTCTCTCTTTTGTTTTGGTTATGACTGATATAACCAATATCTTGAATTGAAATTAAATTCTGAAATTACAAGTTGTAAGCCTATAATCGAAAGTTTATCTCATTCCTTTTTCTTTTTTTTGAGTGATAGAGGAAAATCTGTTGTCACTATTTGATGGTATGTACGGGATAAACCATGCCTTATGAAGTCCCTAGTTTAGTTCATAATCTCATAATTAATAGGCAGTATTAGAAAAAAGAGATCAATGTTTGAATCTCAACGACGTTAATGTAAGAATTATGCGCAAAATAGACAGATCCCTTGTGTGCACCGACATTTGACCATGTCTGCTGAGTCATTGAATCACTATCATTTACATCATTTCAAATGTTCTATTGAGCTTTTGGAGTTGGGGATTCAATCTTTTGGAGGAAGGAAATATAGTATGCAAGAATCAATATGACAATATCTACCTTGTGTATGGCCAAAAGAAAATAAAATGAAATAAAATAATTAGAATATGTGGCTAAGAATTTAACAAGACCACAAACTCTCAGGAGCAGCCCTAGTTTTGATGGGTCATTGTCAATATATACATCATACATTGTACAGAAATTCAATTGGTCGGTTACTAGCTGTCCAATAACCGGCGGCCGGCCGCCGGCCATACCCTACACCTCCCGCCGAATTCAAGTTTATGATTAGTTTACCTTCTCCAATTAGAAGAAGTTTCGTTATTCTTAAATAAACTCTTCAATTCAAATCTTGTAAATAGAGTAACATATTTCAGTGAGTTTAGACAAAGTTGTTCATAAATGAGCTAAATATCAACATTGTCAACCAAAGAGAGCCATATGATTGATCAGATTCCATGGGCCCACACAATCATATGGTCGGCGATCAAAGGTATGATCACCAATCATACAGCCACCCAGGGGAGGGGGGCCAGGGAAAATTTCAAATTTCCTCAAATGCTTCCAAAGATGTAATCTTTCATCTTTGGGATATAAATAGAGGGCTTCTTCTAAGCAAAGAGTTCATTCAAAGTCTAACACAAAGCTACTAAACTTTGGGCAACCTCTCCTTTCTATACACTATATTTTCATTACTTGTGTAGCTAAGAAGACCGTTGAAATGCCGATTCACCGGATTGCGATCGGAGCTCCGGCCGAGGCGAGCCACCCGGATGCCCTCAAGGCCGCCCTTGCCGAGTTCTTTTCCATGCTCATTTTTGTCTTTGCTGGTCAAGGCTCTGGCATGGCTTTCAGTAAGTTCTTTACTACTTCTTCTTGCCCAGAAACCAATTCAACTGTCCGTGAGGGTGTTTAGTAACTTTTCTAGACCAACATCTTGTATAGGCCGAATAAGTTACATTAGCAGTTTGCTTATAAGGGGTTGGATATTGATAAATTTAGAGTTTTGTTACCAGGTAAGTTGACAGATGGTGGAGCAGCAACTCCTGCAGGGTTGATAGCGGCGGCATTGGCCCACGCCTTGGCGCTTTTCGTGGCGGTGTCGGTTGGCGCCAACATCTCCGGCGGCCATGTGAACCCCGCCGTCACATTTGGGGCATTCTTGGGAGGCAACATCACTCTTCTGAGGGGGATCTTGTACTGGATAGCTCAGCTGCTTGGATCTGTTGTGGCTTGTCTCCTCCTGAAACTTGCCACTGGTGGACTGGTAAAGAAAACCCCAGAAATCCCTGCTAGCTCAGCTTTCTTGACAAATGCATTTAAGTCCTCCAACATAAACCAATTGAAGCATGTGCTAGTTGGATTCTACATTTATGTTTATATATATTATATGCTCAACACGACTCCTCACGTGTGCGGGTGGCATGACTTTTATACCAAATTGAAGCATGTGCTCCATCTTAACTAAAAGTTTAAGCTGATAGTTGGATTGCACATTTATTATATATTATATGCTCAGAAAAACCAATCTTGATTTTTGCTGCAGGAAACATCAGCATTCGCTCTGTCATCCGGTGTATCAGTCTGGAACGCGTTGATATTCGAGATTGTGATGACCTTTGGGCTGGTGTACACGGTCTACGCCACGGCTGTGGATCCAAAGAAGGGGGATTTGGGCACCATTGCCCCCATTGCAATCGGTTTCATCGTGGGCGCGAACATCTTGGCTGGCGGGGCGTTTGATGGCGCCTCCATGAACCCTGCAGTCTCCTTCGGCCCTGCAGTCGTCAGCTGGACATGGACTTGCCACTGGGTTTACTGGCTCGGCCCTCTCGTCGGTGCCGCCATTGCAGCCCTGGTTTATGACAACATCTTCATTGGCACCCATCATCATGAGCAGCTCCCTATTGCAGACTATTAATTAAGCACTGTTTTCCCCTGCAATCTTTGTTGTTTTGTTTTCCTTTCTGTTCCCCTCTGTTTTATATGGGGCATTCTGCATTGTTCTTATGAATTTGGGAAGAATAAACAATGTTTGATCATGAATATCAAAGCCTATGATGATGCATTTGGACTATAATCACTAAAATGAAGACTAAACAAACCACTTGAGGAAACAAGAATTAAACTTTATTTATGTCTATTAGCACAACTACACAAGTAGATGCAGGTGCCAGGATAACCCCAGTCGAGTTGGTCAGACAGTTGGCTCCTGAATCCTGACCTTCTCGATCTGAGCCAGTCAACTATGAACAGCCTAAAGTGATTTTCGAGCTGTTATATAGCAGAGTTACCAGCTTCAAACGAGTTGATTTCGCGGGTTGAGATGGGCCCGAAGAGGATGTTTCATGACAAAGGTGAACTCTTGCTTCTCTGCAAGATCAACATCATCTCCTTCAACACCCTTCCATTCGAAAAACCAAACCAGATTAGCCACAAAGAACTCTAAATGCAGCAGAGCCAAAGCCAAGCCGGGGCAAATTCTCCTCCCGGCACCAAAAGGCATCATTTTGATCTCTCTGCTTCCAGTTATATCAAATGCTTCTTCACTAAAGAATCTCTCGGGCTTAAACTCCATCGGATCGTCCCACACCTTCGGGTCCCATCCCAGATCCGCCACCATGAAATTAATCACTGCGTTCTTGGGGATTACATAGCCTTCGAGTTCAACTTCCTCGGTCACCGAGTGTGGCAGCACGAAATGCGCCGGAGGGTGGCGTCTCAGCCCTTCCAAAACCACCGCTTTTAAGTACGGCATTCTTTGCAAATCCTCCTCTTTCACCCCCTCCTCCGGCGGTGCTCCGATCACTCCCAGGATTTCTGAATAGAGTTTTGCTTGAATTGATGGGTGCTTCACTAAATTCGCCATGATCCATTGCAGCGCGGTGGAGGTTGTATCCGTGCCGGCGTTGAGAAATTCCCCGCAAAGGGCCACCATTTCGCCATAGCTGAGCTTCCGTTTCTCCTCCGGCAACTCTAGCTTTATCAGTGTATCTACATAAGCCAAGACTAAATCTTTTTCGTTTCCCCGTTCTTTGGCCTCGATTCTGGCTTTGATGAAAGGGGTTAGAGTGTTTTCCCGATCAAGGGCGACTTGTTTCAACTCTTTCCAGCGTTTCCGGAACACAATCTTTCCAATACTGGGCCAGAAATTCAGGATATTAAATCGGGGAAAACTGAGAATGAATTTTCTCTGTATTTCCCCGATTTTTCTAATCTTCTCTTCTTCCAGCTTATCCCCAAAGCACATCAAAACCAGCAAGCAAAACATGGCGTACTGGAAATGATCAATCACCTTAACACCCGACTCAGAGCCGTCGTTACGGAGTTTTCCGACGAGAACTCCGAGAACCCATTGCCGGGCGTTCGAGTAAGCCTTAACCCGAGAAGGGTGGAGAATCTCCGACGTAAGATTCCGGCGGAGGAGGCGCCAGGTAGGGCCGTACGCGGCGGAGCTGATATTCCGCTGATTACAATTCAGCAGCCTAGTCGCCGGCGCCGAAACCGGCCGGTCGGAGAAAACGGCGCCGTTCTGGACAAGAGCTTTATGAGCGAGAGAATGGTTGGCGATAAATATCGCGAGGCGAGAGCCGACTCGGAGGGAGATGAGAGGGCCGTACTTGGATTTGAGGTCCCGGAGAATGGGTTCCAGGAAGAAGGAGCGTCGCATCCATAGGAAGTTTCCGATCAATGGAAAGGTAAAGGGTCCCGGCGGGAGCCTCTTACCGGAGAAGAAAAACGCGACGAGAGATTTAAGGAAGAAGACGACAAAGAGGGTGCATAGGAGTGTGAATAACCAATTTTCCATTTTTGTCTAAAACGTAACTATCAATCTCTCGCTATGGTCGGAGTAGTGGATAAACTTGTCCCGTCAGTTATACTATTTATAGATGTGTAACGGCGGAGACGTCACTACTGACGCACCTACAAATAAAATTATTGAGTTTAGGCACCACACGTGAACACTTTTGAATTTTGATATCAACGTTTTTTTAAAATCTCATTTTCAATTGCAATTAAAGCTAATTAATTTACTCTCTCTTACAAGGTAAGATATTTGATCCCAACAATGTAACATTGAGACTTAAAAGAGTTGAAGAGATGTCAAAATTAAAATTGTAAACTTATTTGAAAATTAAAATTGTCGAAAAATTGTTGACGATCTTCTGATCTTCGAACTTATTAAATAACTAGCTCTTACATGCTAAGGTTATGAATTTATTTCAAATTGTCTTCATGCCACCCTTCCCTAATCATACTCAAATTGCCTTGCCTAATTCTAATCACACTCAAATTGCCTTGCCTAATTCTAATCATAATCAAATTACCAACTTCCATTTTTGTTTATATTCGATGCTTTCAAGTGATTGGACCTCAATTTTCAAGTAAATTTTTACATTAAAAATCATACTATATCTAATATACATATATTCAATTTTTTTTAATAGTTGGGCCCCCCAAATTTTGGGGGCCCTATTAAGTAGCCATGGGAAGAGCAATCGTTATATCCTACACCACGGCGCACATAGCACTGTGCGTCGCGCGCCTCCCAAAACGACGTTGTTTTGGGGTAGTGTTGGGAGGCGCAGTAGGAAGTTGCTGAGATTATGTGTATTTGTTCACAACGTTATGTGTATTGGTTCATACAGTTATGTGTATTTTTTATACAATTATGTACATTCTTTTTATACAATTATGTACATCCGAATCAGAAAATTTGTGTGTATTATGTTAAGAGTTGATGTGTATTATGTTAAAAGTTTATGTTTATTATGTATTATGTTAGATTATGTGTATTATCTTTTAAAAAGAGTATGTATATTTTGTTACATAATTATGTACATTCATGTATAACATTATGTGTATTCTAGTATAACATTATGTACATTCTTGAACAGCGGATTTTTTTTTTAAGAAAAAACTACTGCCATTTACTGGGGCGGGAAATTTCAAAAAATAATAATAATTAAAACGACATCGTTTTGCATCTGGGTGCATAGTGCAACGCGCGCCGTGGTGTAGGATATAAATTGCCTGGGAAGAGATGCTCATTCTTAAAAGATCACATGTTCAAATTACATCATATATGTGTATTTATATTCATTTTGTCGTAAATTTTTGCTTCTATATGTTCATAAAAACAAAACGTAATAATGTCTATAAATATTACACTATAGGAATATCATGTTTAATAACATCTACATAAACATTAAATTACAAGTACACTATATCTATTTACATTTATTATGTAGTATGTTCATAATGTTCCTTTTATATGTTATAAAACATAGCTTAATTTACATAAAATCACATTAGATGTGCATCTTGTTTAATAACATTTATTCTTCTTAAAGATTGAACCCCAACTCTATGGGCTCCCCACATCCCGGCCCGACAGAACATTTGGGATGATGTAAATCATGGTGACTCAACTGAACATGAATCACAAAGGCTAGACCTTTGCTCACCGCGCACAAGGAACCCCCCTCAACATTTATCATTTGCTATATTCACAACACTAAACTACACGTACATCATATGTAATAAGTTTATAATGTCCATTCTATATGTTTATAAAAATAAAATTTCTTGTATATTATGTAAATATTACACTAAAGTAATGACTTTATGTGTGTGTGTATATATATATATATATATATATATATATATATATATATATATTTTTATACATTAATTTTATTTGTACAAAAAGATAAAAGAAAAATAAATTAAGGAGAAAAAAATATGTGTTAGGTGCATGTTGCTACATTCGCCCTGGTCCAGGATATGATTATTGTCGGGACTGCATGTGGTTTTTATTTTCCAAAAAAATTATAAAGTAAAATGACATTCCCCCCTCACCCCGAATTATATGTTTATAGTACATTTTCTCCTTAAATTATTTATGTAAGTTTATTAGTCCCCTCAATTATGCTAAAAGTGACCGTTCACCCCCCTCCCCCCCCCCCCCCTCCCTCCCTCCCTCCCTTCCCAATATATTAAATTGAAATCTCTACCCTTAAAGTAAACATTTTGGCCCTGTTTGGTAAAAAGTTGGCCTATAGGCCAATTTTGATTTATTTGACCACTATTAATTGTTTATTTATTTTTCTTCTCCAACAAATTATTCTTTTCAAATGGTTGAACCCCAAATATTGAATTCTGGATCTGAATCATAACCGAAAACTTTTAATTAGATTGCTATAGTGTTCGGTTCAGTTCGAATCGAACCGTGGTCATCCATACGTATACACAATAATTTGTTGGAGAAGAAAAATAAATAAAATGTTTACTTTATGGGTAAAAATGTCAATTTAATATATCAGGGAGAAACCGAATAATTGAGAAGACTAATATACTTACATGAATAATTTAGAAGAAAAAAGTGTTATAAGTATATAATTCAGAAGAAAAAAATGTCATTTTCCCTTAAAGTTAATATGTCATAGTAATGATCTAATGTATATAGCTGGCATTTCACGGATTGCTGTTCATCTGAAAGTAGATTGAAGTTTTTGTTAATTTTTTGAATAATTTAATTACTTGTCTTATTTCTTATTAGCCTAACTATATCAAACCATATCAAACCAACTCATTAAGGATATGTCTAGCTTCTATAAGGATATAAATTTTGAATAATTTAATTACTTGTCTTATTTGTTATTAGCCTAACCATATCAAACCAACTCATTAAGGATATGTCTAGCTCCTATAAAGATAACTTTTAACTTGTGCTGAAGTCCGCTTTACATCAATTCCTAACATTACAAGAGTCATCTTTAGTGGAACGATATCTAAACTGTATACTCTATGATTTAATATTTGATAGATGTGTAAAAACTGTCCTTATCAAGCAACTATTAGGTACAACTTATTTAAGTTGATCAGATAGTTGGCTTGGTAACATGAGGTTGCAGTTTTGAGCCAATCAAGTATAAATAACTTAAATTTATTTATTTAGTGCACTTTAAAGAACAGTGTCACGCAACTTACATAGCATCTGCAGAGAAAATCCAAAGAGTTTGATGATAACTTAATCAGCAGAGTTACCAGGTTGATTTCGCGGGTAGAGATGGGCGCGGAGAGGATGTTTCATGACAGTGGTGAACACTTGCTTCTCTGAAAGATCAACATCATCTCCTTCAACACCCTTCCATTCGAAAACCCAAACCAGATTAGCCACAAAGTACTCTAAATGCAGCAGAGACAAAGCCAAGCCTGGGCAAATTCTCCTCCCTGCACCGAAAGGCATCATCTTGATTTCTCTGTTTCCACTTATATCAAATGCTTCTCGCCCGGACAAGAATCTCTCCGGCTTAAACTCCATGGGATCCTCCCACACCCCCGGGTCCCATCCCAGATCAGCCACCGTGAAATGAATCACTGAATTCTTGGGGATTACATAGCCTTCCAGTTCAACTTCCTCTGTTACAGTGTGTGGCTGCAGGAAATGTGCCGGAGGGTGGCGTCTCAGCCCTTCCAAAACCACCGCTTTTAAGTATGGCATTCTCTGCAAATCCTCCTCTTTCACCCCCTCCGGCGGTGTTCCGGAAACTCCCACGATTTCTTCGTAGAGTTTAGCTTGAATAGATGGGTGTTTCACTAAATTAGCCATGATCCATTGCAGCGCAGTGGAGGTTGAATCCGTGCCGACGTTGAGAAATTCCCAGCAAAGGGTCGCCATTTCGCCATAGCTGAGCTTCCGTTTCTCCTCCGGCAACTCTAGTTTTATCAGTGTATCTACATAAGCCAACACTTCATCTCGTTGTTTGGCCTCAATTCGGGCTTTGATGAAAGGGGCCAAAGTGTTTTCACGATCACGGGCTAGTTCTTCCAATTCTTTCCAGCGATTCCGGAACAGAATCTTCCCAATACTAGCTGGCCAGGAATTGAGGATACTAAATCGGGAAAAACTGAGAATAATTTTTCTCTGTATTTCCTCGATTTGTCTAATCTGCTGTTCTTCCAGCTTATCTCCAAAGCACATCAAAACCAGCAAGCAGAACATGGCGTACTGGAAATGATCAATCACCTTAACGCCCGACTCAGAGCCGTCGTTAACGAGTTTTCTGACGAGAACTCCGAGAACCCATTGCCGGGCGTTCGAGTAAGCCTTAACCCGAGAAGGGTGGAGAATCTCCGACGTAAGATTCCGGCGCAGGAGGCGCCAGGTAGGGCCGTAGGCGGCGGAGCTGATATTACGCTGATTACTACTGAGCAGCCTAATCACAGGCGCCGACACCGGCCGGTCGGAAAACACGGCGCCGTTCTGGACAAGAGCTTGATGAGCGAGAGAATGGTTTGCGATGAATATCTCCGGGCGAGCGCCGGGTCGGAGGGTGATGAGAGGACCGTACTTGGATTTGAGGTCCCGGAGAATGGGTTCCAGGCGGAATGTGCGTCGCAGCCATGGGACGTTTTCGATCAACGGAACGGTAAAGGGTCCCGGCGGCAACCTCTTGTTGGGTTTACCGGAGAAGAATAGAGCGAAAAGAGATCTGAGGAAGAAGACGACAATGAGGGAATAGAGGAGTGTGCATTGCCAGTGTTCCATTGTCTCTGAAAACATGAATCACGCTTCAATGTTTTCTTTTGTTAACATGAGGGTATTTAATTTTGTCATTTTGGCACTGTTAACGTGGTAGGCAAAACTCATTTAGATGTCCCTAACTGTAAAATGATTTTTTGGTGGGTTTAACTTGGTATGCAAAAGTCATTTTGATGTCTCTAATTGTGGTCCAGTGGTATCCGGTTGCTCTCCTATGCGGGAGGTGTAGGGTTTAAATCTCAGTGTATTGTAAAGAAAGGGTATTTCCTTTCTTTTTAATAAAAAAAAATAGGCAAAGTATCAAATAGGTCCATCTATTACTGCTAAGTGCTCAATTCTCACCACGAATTAAATTAAGTGTCAAATAAGTCCATCTACCAGCTAAATTTGTTCGATTGACTTTTTTTGGCATGTTGCCTATTCAATTATTTATATATATATATATATTATATATATATATATATATATATATATATATATAATAATAATAATAATAATAATAATAATAATAATAATAATTAAAAATACTTTGGTGATACTAATTTTGTCGGGCTAATCTTAATTCCATAAGACTCTATTTCTAGAGCCACTCTAGAGGAAATCGCGAGTTGTGCAATCAGTTCAACAGTTAGACCATTGTCTTCATGTATGCACAAGAGATTCAATTTATACCTTACATCATCTCGAGCCTTTTTCTCATTCATGTTTCTAGTGACATCAAGTTAGACGTCAAACAACTTCTCTTTTCTTTTATTGTCAATCGTTGTACTCTCACCGTCCCATTTTTATGTGATTGATTCGATGACACTTTAGATCAAACGCTTATCATTAGCGATGCACGTACAATTAAAATTATTAAGCATACTATACTCACAAAATTGAACGCAAATTCCATGTTGCAGGATGCATATCACATTAAACATTTAAACTAAAGTAGTGTAGGGAGTTTTGAATGATGGTAAAGTATCATCTTGTACTTGAAGAATACGAATACAAATCATTTATAATTATCCAACATTATTTCTAATGTTTTATTTATTTGAATATTTTTATATAATTTATACCTAAATAAACATATTAAATAATATATTGAAAAATATGGCGTATATAGTGCAATTTTATAGCATGATTACAATAATATTTGATGGAAAGCTAGACATAAATGAATGGTACTAATCATGTATATGCCTGCACTCGTGTTGCTAATGAAATTTCAGGGCTCAACATCTCTATCCAACAAGATAATAAAAGGGCAAATTACGGTACTTCAACAACTCATTAGATAGGAAGACCAGTGTCAAGTGCTCATTTGGTGAAACTCTCATACTGCAACTGCTAGAACTTGATGATTATGTGTCACTGTCTACAATCTACAATCCAAAAAAATTAATTGAATTATTTGTGCGTACGGTAATATAAAACCCTTATACGTGTGAATCAATGTTGTCCTTAGTTGGGTTGTCCCCCTTTTAAAAAAAAATGCTAAAAGAGGTGTACATGATGTTTATAATAATGTACATTACATTTTTTATGAAAAAAAATAAATCCTCCTATCATAATTCTGTTAACTAATAGTATTGCAAAATAGAGACTGTTGGGTTGCACTTCCATATGGAAGGGAGTGGGTTCGAGTCTCAGTGGAGGCGCCATTTACTCTTTGTGTTTCAGTCAGTTGGTTGAGAAAGTAGTTTATGAACAGATGAGACGCTGGAGCTTGATCAAATATTTTGGCCTGGATGATCAATCAAGAGTGATTTGTCTGTATATTTCTATTAGATGTTTAATGAAGGCTCAATATATATATATATATATATATATATATATATATATATATATATATATATATATATATAGAGCGATCCAGCTTATATAATCAGCCCAATCAAAATTTTGAAGATATAATTAAGGAATGATGAATTGGAGCAAATTAAAATGGCATGAAGCTGCATGTATTTCTTGCCCAATTTATTGATGGTGCAGTGTTTTAATCATATCTCGGCCAGTGATGTAAAACTCGGCCGCCTAGCCGCCTAGGCGCCCGCCTAGGCGCTAGGCGGCCACTTACCTTGGAGTTTTGGCCTATAGGCGGCCAAAACTCGGTCGGCCGCCTAGGCGGCCGCCTAGGCGGCCTGGGCGGCCGCTAGGCGGCCTAGGCGGCCTGGGCGGCCGCTAGGCGGCCTAGGCGGTCAAACTCGGCCGAGTCGGTCAACTCGGCCAACTCGGCCGAGTCGACCGATTTCGTCCGATTTTGACCGTTTTTGACCAATTTTGACCGATTTTGTCTGATTTTGACTGATTTTGACCGATGTCGTCTTTCATTAATTATTGATTTTAATATTATTATGACATTATGACTTATAAATTATCATTATTTCATTTATTTAGATGTGTTATTTGAGTGAACGTTGAAAACAACCTCATTATAATTGTCGAACTACAAGTCTGTCACTATTTTTTTTAATTTTTTTGGTGCCCGCCTAGCCCCGCCTAGAATCCGCCTAGGCGCCGCCTAGACCGCCTAGGCGCTAGGCGCTGCCCGGCCGCCCGACTAGCGCCTAGCGCCTACTGCAACCTTGATCTCGGCACAAGAATGTCCAAATCAAATGATTCATAAACCAGTAGAAAGATAACTCAAAGGGCTAGAACTTTTATGAAGACTATCAAGCTTGATTTGGATGTTACCTTGGTAAAAAATGGCATGGAAGGCAATAATACCTAAATTTTTACAAGGTAATGTTATTAACTTTGGAGAATATATTACATAAGCTTGAAGACAACTTAGGAGTTGGTGGCAAATTATGGAAAAGAATTGAAAATATATTTATAGATAAATTATTAAAGTGGATGGAAAATAATTTCTTTTTATTACTCTGAACTTTAAGTTATTTACAAGATTGGACCTTAAATCTCAACTATAAATACATAGCCATCTACTATTCTCATCAATATCAAAATCACTCAAACTTTCCCTCTTATAGCTATTATTATTCTCCTAGCAAGTGAGAAACTCTTTATAGTTTCCTCTTTACTACATAGAAAGAGATTGTAATATTCTCCTTATAGTGAAAATACCTTCTTCTTTGCCCGTAGTTTTTATCATTTTGGGGTTTCCACATAAAATCTTCGTCTTCTTTATTATTATCCCCTCATATTATCAATTAATATTTTGTTCATGTTGTGTAAGTGATAATCCATCTTGGTAGAATGACCTTACATGTCTAGAAAAAATCTTTGTTTGAGACTTGATATTTAAGTAGTCCATTTATGACTCACCTCTTTTCTCTAATTATTTTACTGGTGCATGCGCATTGTTCATAAAGTCATTATTATTCCATTATTATACGATATTGTTCAAACATACCATGCATTATTCATTGGATATACAGTAATGCTGGTCTACTGTTGAATATCTTGTAGTCATGAAACCAACAAAGATATAAATGGTTAAAATATTAATTCGATCGATCCTTATATTTTTTTGTCCAATCAATTTGTCATATCATATTTCATTAGTTAATTCTATAAGTTTATATATCATATACTAATTTCATTTAATTTATTAGATTATATATTATCAATGCTTTTTTGTTTACTTAATTTAGCCTTTTTTTTAAATAATAATCCTGCCACTTAAATCATGCATGATTCACTGCATGTAAATTCAATTGACAAGTAGTCTAAATCCATGGAGACAATTTTTTAAAAATTATTTTTCTTACCTCTTCTATTTCTTTTTATACTCTTTTGTAGTCTTGAAATGTATTTTATGGGGTTTTTATTTATTTTTTTTTTTAGAAAAGCATGGCGATATTACTTTAGTAACGTAACATACTAAAACACAAAAAGTCAAAGCCTCCATACTGAGGTTCAAACTTGAGACCTCTTAATAAGGGGTGACTACGGTTCGGTTCAAACCGGAATCGTGCATTGTACAACTGAAACCGAAACCAATAAAGTTCCGGTTAAGGTTTGTTAAAATAAAAAAAAGAGTTTTTTTTTTTTTTTTTTTTTTTTTTAGATTTTTTTTTTAAAAAAAACTGTGCATTTATTCTATTTCCAAACCAAGAGTCTACAAGCATACGCCATAGCCCCAAAAGTGGACTATGGCTCAAAACAAGTCTTTGGCCATTTCGGCCATAACAAAACAAAACAACCATCTAAATAAATACAAGAGGTGGCCCTAAAGTGACCACCCCCATCAAAGTGTAGAACTCCCAACCATCTAAGTCTACTATATCAAAATCATAGGGCCAAAATGGCTCACAAAGAGATCAAAAGGTAAGTTCAAGCCTTGAAAGCCCAAACCTCACCAACTCATTCACAAACCTCGTCTGTAAAAGGCTCCCCGTCCCACACAAGTGATGGGAATGGTGCCTAAGCTCATGGAGATCCAACTATCCTATCCTATCCCTACTACCCTTAAGTCAAAGACCCATCCCCACCGGCACGGCGTACCGTGTTTTAGTCCGGGGGGACTTTACGGGTCCCGGCTTAAGCGGTAGCACTCACCTCCTTCCACCCTCGTGCCCAAGACCAACCCCCCTCGGCATAGCGCACTATGTTTTACCCGGGGAGACTTTTGAGGTCCCGACAGGAGCAATGGATCCCTTCCCACCACCCTTAGGCCAAGGGCCGACTCCCACGGCACGGCGTACCGTGTTTTAGGCCCGGGGAGCCTTTGCAGCCCTGACCTAAGCAATGGGTATCCACCATCTCACCCCTCCCTTCTCTTTTGCCAGCAAAATTGCTTTTTTCTTCTGTTGTGTTGTTTTTTTTTTTTTTTTTCCGAAATCCACTATTCTTTTCCTTTCCCTCAAATCCCCTTATTTCGCCCTCCTCCAAATTTCCTTACATTTCTCTCTGATTCTTTTAAACCTATGGATCCCCTCAAGCTAAAAGCACTCCCAACTCCGAGTGTATGCCATACTTGGAGCCAATCAAGACCCCCATTCATAACACAGGCCAGAATGGACTTCCAAGGCTAAAAAACTACCTAAGAATCTCTTCTAAAGCCATTTTTCCTTTAAGATACAAGATATGCACACAAAAGGGGGGTCGGGAGTTCTTAAAGCAAAGTAAGGCAAGGGGGTCTTCTTCTTCAAGCTTCCACCTACCTGCAAAAAAAGCTAATGGCTTCATCTCTACATTAACGTAGATCCACCAAACAACATCTGCACAGTATTCAACTGCCAGTTCCCACCCAAGCTGAATGCCCTCAGAAGCTGCCTCAGCTAGCAGCCCATCATTGGGCCAAAGGGAGCATAAATCTCAGCTAAGTAGCCTCATAGATCCATACTCCCTTAACAATCATATTCAAGGTCCAATACCTCAGCTAGCTAGCTTCATAGGTAGGGATACAAGCCATCCAGAACATGCCTCAGCTGCCTCAGCTTCACTGGCCTGTTCCCCCACTTATCCTCTTTAGTTTCCTCCCCAACAACGGGCAGAACTGGGCTCAGCAACCTCAGCATCATAGCCCAGTTCCCCCTTGCACATTCCCCCCCTAAGCTATTTGCAGTTAAGCTTAACCTAGCAGGACCAATCTCAGCAATTGCTTCACTGATAGATCCCCTAGGGCCTAGAACATCAGATTGCAGGCTTCATAAGCCAAGTGGAAAGAGCAGAAATGGCCTCAGCCAGCAGCACTGGCCACTTCCCCCTCTCACCCTTTATGCTTCCCAGGCCATATACCCTGCCAAGAACTCAGAAGCTGCTATGGTCCTAAGGCAGAACAAGCTTCAGTCATGAGACCTCACCAGCTTGTTCCCCCCAGCCCACTCTCCCCTCAAGACCAGCTGAGGATCATTGGGGCAACATATGTTAAGTCTTATCTCTCTCAAAACCTTCCTTATGCACCCTCTCTTCCACTCTTTTCACACTCATTCTTTTCCTCTCTTATTTCCTTTCTTATCACTTCACCATCTCTCTTTTTCCTTTTTTCCTTATTCTCACAGCTTCCTTCCTTATAGCAGCCTTCCCACAGAATCTCTTAACTCCAAGTTAAAGGCCAAGGCCCCCACACCCTCAGATTTCTTCACTGGGAGTGGGATCACTTGGGCTTGATCCTCCCCTGCAACACTCTTCCTTTTTCTCTATTCTTTGGATGTGAGGGCAGCTCATAACCCCTCCAAAAGCCCTTATTCCCTTGTTCCAACCAAGATGCCAGGATCCCACATCTTAGATCCCAACCAAGACCCTTGTGTGGATATCATCTAATACTATCCATCCCAGGCAGAAAGACAAAGTGAGGCACTCCCTCTAGAGCAAGAAGAAGATCAAAGCCTCTTGGAAGCCCCTCAACTCTGTTGAAGATTATGTTAAGGTCACAGCACCTGTTGGCCAAGCTTGAAGCCACAATAAGACAAACGATTCCAGGCTTAAAGATTCTCACCAAGTTTCTCACTCTGTGAAGGGAGCCTTGGGAGCCCACCCCCCTCACATTCCAACATAGAACTTTCATCTTTTCTTCTTGGGAGAGGCCTTTTTGCCCCTCTTGTTGGGTTTCTGTTGTTGCTCCTGCACCTGGGATTGTTGCTGATTCAAATGGGATCTTGTTCTAGTGCCAACTGGTGAAACATGCAATCTATCATAATCTTTCTCTTTTTCCTTCTCCACTTCCCTCATTCTTTGCTTATTTTCCTGATTTTCCCCTTCTGATTCTTCTGAGACCCCTTTCCTTTCTGAGCCTTCATCTTCTTGTCCTTCGAATTCCCCTTCTTTGCCCTCATCTGAATCAGCCACTGATGGTCCTGGATCTATCTCATTTGAGTTAATTTGATTACCCTCTTCATCAATTTGCCCTAGTGCATGGAAGGATCCTCCCTCCACCACACTATCTTTTACTTTTCCCTTCTCTTCCTCTTCTTCATTCACTTGTACTTGGGACTGCTTCTGTGACCCCTGATCCTGCCCCTTTTCCTCTCCTTTTTTTGTAATCTCTTGCCAATCTGCCCCACCACCAACAATTTGTGGTTTCTGCCCCTATAATAACCCCCTCTTCCTCTACCCATCTCTTCCCTTACTGCAGCATAAGTGCCTTCTTGTGAGGCAATCTCAAAGCCATCTTTGTCCTTTGTTCCAGATGTACTAGCTATCCCTTTTTTTACATTCTGATTCTGTGTATTCCCAACCTGATTCTCCCCCTCTTGTTTTTCATTTTGTTTCTGATTTATCCTATTACCACTTCTACTCCTTATTCTCCCTCCAGTATTCCCTCCCTTTCCTTCAGGTCTCCCTCTCACAGTTGCAGGTTCTCTTCTACTGTTTCCAGGTCCACCCTGACCTGCCAATCTGCAAACTTCAGATGAATGTCCCTGCTTGTAGCAGGTTGTGCAATAGTGTGGCACTCTTTCATACACTACTTTTTGAAAATACCCCAAGTCCTCCTGTCCAGGGTCCTCTGAGAATCCTATGAAAATTTCATCAACTCTTGGGGCCAGCAAATCTATTTCCACCCTAGCTCTTGCATAGCTAGGTCTAGTAAAGTTTAATGTAGCATTGTCAGGGGCAAGAAATTTCCCAAGTGGTTTACAAACTTGCTTTAAAGCCTCTGTTTTAAATAAGTTCAGACTCAAAAGTGGAAATCTAACCCAAACAGAGGCCAATGATGTCTCCTTTTCTGTGCTGAATCCAACAGCCCATCTAAACACTCTCATGGGATATCTCCCTTCTATCAGAATCTGGTCTCTCATCAGGAATGCCAGGCAGTCAGCTTCTTGAGTGAAAGCCAGGGTAATGTGTCTTTGATCCATTCAACCAATCACTAAGGAGCCCTTCAAGATATAGTGTGCTGTAAAAAATTTCCTTATTTCATCTAAGGATGGCCTTCCCCAAGAGAACTTACCTATTAATAGGTAGTCCTCTATTAAATTGAGCTGTTTCACCTCCTCATTACCAAATCTAATAGCAGGCTTCCCCCTATGGGTCTTAGGAACCTTATCAGTGATAGGAACCTGTGGAAGTCCCCCAAATACATTATCATTCTTGCTCACATCTTTATTGAATAAACCTGAGAAGTTCATGGGAGCTCTCTGGTTCCAAGCATTACCTTGCACTTGACTTCTAACATTTCCTAAGTTCTTTGATGCATTTTCATAAGCACTTGGTGGGTTCTCCATTTTCTGAGCAGTTTTAGCAAAATTCGAGGGGTTACCTGGTTTCTCCTGAGCATTGCTGGTCTTTCCTGGCATTGGAGCCTTCCCAGTAGTTGCAATGAGGTTTGGTTTGTCTACAAATGAGACCCCCTTCGTTTCCAAGTCATTAGTTCTCCCTTGGTCCCTCCACTTCTCCACCATTTCTACAGTCGATTCCTTCTGGATTTGTGGCCCCTTTCCTTTGATTTTGTAGACCTCCATTGATGCCTGATGTTGACTTTTCATCATTTCCACATCCTTAGTTAAGTCGCGATCAATCTGCGATTCTGTCCGATCCGGGTCGTTCTCTTCAATGTCAAAGAGAGACTCCGGTGGCCTGGACTCAAGATTGATGGTCTCATAAGTCTTCTGCTGACCACCATTCATCAGTTCTCCTACCTCTATGTCCTCAAGACGTCGCCCAGCAGCAATCGCCTCAAGGTCGGCTCTTGGTTTCTCAGTCGCGGAGACTGTCTCCGATGTCTCTGAAGCCATCGGACCACCTTCCAATGGTGGTATCAGGGGCGGAGGCCCCTCAGGACCTGCGCCGAGGTCTAAGCTATCCAACGTCGGTGTTTACGTGATGATCGCTCGCCGGAACAGTAATCGGCGGCGGGTTTTAACGGCGGGTCGGGTCGGGTTTTCTAGTGAGAAGGCAGGGTCTAGTGAGAGCTCATTGATTTAATACGCGACTTGGTCCCTCGACTATGTCGTAATTACCAATTTGGTTCTCGACTATCATTCTTACCCAATTAAGTCCTTAATTATACAATTTTTACCCAATTTAGTCCTTTGTCAATTTGATTGTTTGTTGACTGTCAAAAGTGGAAATAAAGTTGTAATTTTACAAGTTTTCTCCTTCCTCCTCATTTAGCAGCGCCAAACCATGTAGCAATAAGCTCCGGTTGGGTTCTAAACCTGTTAGTATCGAAGTAGTGGTTATGCATCGGATAACCCATGAATTTGATTTCCAACGATTTTTTGACGAACGAAATCTGATCGGAGTGTATTGCTGCATGGTTTGGCGCTGCTAAATGGAGAGGAAGGAGAAATCTTGTAAAATTATAATTTTATCCCGACTTTTGACAGTCAACAAACAGTCAAATTAATACAGAGGACTAAATTGGGTAAGAATTGTATAGTTGATGACTTAATTGAGTAAAAGTTACATAGTTGATGACTTAATTGGGAAAGAATGGTAGTTGAGGACCAAATTGGTAATTATGACATAGTCGAGGGACCATTTTGGGTATTAACTCTAAAAAAAAAAACCAATAGTTATGCTGTGCAACCGTGTGCACCATGCATGGTGCACACAGTTGCAAAATGACGTCGTTTTGACTAAAAACGTGCGTCCCATTTATAAAAAAAAAAAAAAAATCAGTTTTGATTCCCCTCAACAGCATTATGTTGTTCATTCATTCTGGATTTTTAGTTCATTCATTGTGGATATTTAGTCCATTCATTGTGGATATTTAGTTCATTCATTCTGGATTTTTAGTTATTCATTCACTGTGGATATTTAGTTCATTCATTGTGAATATTTAGTTAATTCATTGTGGATATATAATTCAAATTATGCACAAAAAATGCTATTACCGAGAATTGAATCTGAATTTTTTTCTTTTAAATGAAACGCGCATTTTTAATCAAAACGACGTCGTTTATGCAACCGTGTGCACCATACATAGTGCACACGATTGCACAGCAAATCATAATTTGCGTAGAAAACAAACCGGAAAAAAATGCCATGCTGCAGGCCTACTGCCTCACTGCCCAATAGTTATGCTGTGCAACCGAATGTACCATGCGCATGGTGCATACGGCTCAAAACGACGTCGTTTTGATTAAAAACGCGCGTTCCACTTTAAAAAAAAAAAAAATCAGGTTCGACTCTCAGCAATAGCATTATTGTGGATATATAGTTATGAAATTGTGGATATATAGTTATGAAATTGTGGTTATATAGTTATGAATTTATGGATATTTAGTTCATTCATTGTGGATATTTAGTTCAATCATATATTGTGGATATTTAGTTCAATCATATATTGTGAATATTTAGTTCATTCATTGTGGATTTTTACTTCATTCATTCATTCATTGTGGATTTTTACTTCATTCATTCATTCATTGTGGATTTTTACTTCATTCATTCACTGTGGATATATAGTTATAAAATTGTGGATATATAGTTATGAAATTGTGGTTATATAGTTATGAATTTATGGATATTTAGTTCATTCATTGTGGATATTTAGTTCAATCATATATTGTGGATATTTAGTTCATTCATTGTGGATTTTTACTTCATTCATTCATTCATTGTGGATTGTTACTTCATTCATTCATTCATTGTGGATTTTTACTTCATTCATTCATTGTGGATATATAGTTATGAAATTGTGGATATATAGTTATGAAATTATGGTTATATAGTTATGAATTTCTGGATATATAAAAATGCTATTGCCGGGAATCGAACCTGATTTCTTCTTTAAATGGAACGTGCGTTTTTTTTAACTAAAACGGCGCCGTTTTGCAACCGTATGCACCTTGTAAGGTGCATTCGGTTGCACAGCATAATTTGCGCTCACTGCCGCATTGAGTAGTGGGCAGTGGCCCAAAGGCCGAAGAGGCAAAGATCAAACTTTGGTCTTTGCCTCTTGGGCCTTTGGTCTCATGTTTTTTTTTTTTGTTTTTGTTTTTTTTTTTTTTTTTAAATTCGGTTATAACCAGCGATTTCAATCGGAATCGGAACCCTACTATATTCATTTTATAATTGAAAAACCGTGAGTGATTGACTTGGACCACAAATAATAACAATTTGAAAGTCAAATAATTATGGGTGGCAAAACTACTATATTCAAAAGATCTCAAATGGTATTAACTCTTTTTAAATGAATCAAAGTCTGTAATATAAGTAAGGAGTGAAAATAGAATATTTTTAAATTAGATGCATGATTATGTAATTTGTATTGCATTTGAATTTGTCGTCCAAGTTGCAATTGGGTCATTGAACTAAAAAAATCATTAAATTCCCTGAACAACACAAACACATACAATTCAATTGAAAATGACCTATTTACCAAAAAATATACTGATGATTACCAAATTTAAAAATAATTTTAAATAAATTAATTATTTAATTTTTTTATTTAACCAAAAAAAAAAAAAAAAAAAAAAAAAAACTCCCTTCGCGGAGACAAAGAAGTCTTTGTCCCCCATGACCGGAGACGAAGAAGTCTTTGTCTCCATGGCCGGAGACGACCCCTTCGTCTTTGACCATAGTGACAAAAAGACCTTCGTCTCCCTAGAAGTGAAGGATCTTCGTCTCCTAAACGAAAGTGTACTAAAGAAACCATGTTTCAGCAAAAAGCTTAAATTAACATTTTAGAAACATCAGAAAACAAGAATTAAACTTAAATTATGTCTATTAGCACACTGCACAAGTAGAAGCAGATGTTAAAACTAGCAACTTTAAAGCATAACTATCTTTCTGCCAAGCACAACCAGAACAGGTGTTACTGGAGAATGCACAAAACACTATCACATAACTTATATACCATTTGGATAACTTAGCCAAATTGGTCATGCAACTATATATAAAGTTCAAATTTAACTTCCATGAAAGAGGGTTATTGGCCTTTATGACCAGAACCTGTCAACTATGAATACCTTAGATTGATTTCCAGTATTTTTTAGGACTAGAATCATAACGTGGGATCGGTACCAGGTTCAAATGAGTTTATTTCGCGGGTAGAGATGGACGCAGAGAGGATGTTTCATGACTGTGATGAACAAATGCTTCTCTGCAAGATCAACATCATCTCCTTCAACACCCTTCCATTGGAAAAGCCAAACCAGATTAGCCACAAAGTACTCTAAATGCAGCAGAGACAAAGCCAAGCCTGGGCAAATTCTCCTCCCTGCACCGAAAGGCATCATCTTGATTTCTCTGCTTCCACTTATATCAAATGCTTCTCCGCCGGACAAGAATCTCTCCGGCTTAAACTCCATTGGATCCTCCCACACCGCCGGATCCCATCCCAGATCAGCCACCGCGACATTAATCAATGTATTCTTGGGGATTACATAGCCTTCCAGTTTAACTTCCTCTGTTACAGTGTGTGGCTGCAGAAAATGTGCCGGAGGGTGGCGTCTCAGCCCTTCCAAAACCACCGCTTTTAAGTATGGCATTCTCTGCAAATCCTCCTCCGGTAAGGGACTGTCGGCGGCGGCGGAGGGCGGTGTTCCGGAAACTCCCACGATTTCTTCGTAGAGTTTAGCTTGAATAGATGGGTGTTTCACTAAATTAGCCATGATCCATTGCAGCGCAGTGGAGGTTGAATCCGTGCCGACGTTGAGAAATTCCCAGCAAAGGGTCGCCATTTCGCCATAGCTGAGCTTCCGTTTCTCCTCCGGCAACTCTAGTTTTATCAGTGTATCTACGTAAGCCAACACTTCTTCATCTTCGTTTTTTCTCTCCGCCTTTGCTCGTTCTTTGGCCGCAATTCTGGCTTTGATGAAAGGGGCCAAAGTGTTTTCACGATCACTCGCTAGCTGTTTCAATTCTTTCCAGCGGTTCCGGAACAGAATCTTCCCAATACTAGGCCAGGAATTGAGGGTACTAAATCGGGGAAAACTGAGAATAATTTTTCTCTGTATTTCCTGGATTTGTCTAATCTGCTGTTCTTCCAGCTTGTCTCCAAAGCACATCAAAACCAGCAAGCAGAACATGGCGTACTGGAAATGATCAATCACCTTAACACCCGTCTCAGAGGTGTCGTTAAGGAGTTTTCTGACAAGAACTCCGAGAACCCATTGCCGGGCGTTGGAGTAAGACTTAACCCGAGAAGGTTGGAGAATCTCCGACGTAAGATTCCGGCGCAGGAGGCGCCAGGTGGGGCCGTATGCGGCGGAGTTGATACTACGCTGATTACTATTGAGCAGTCTAAACGTAGGCGCCGATCTCGGCCGGTCCGAAAACACGGCGCCGGTCTGGACAAGAGCTTTATGAGCGAGAGAATGGTTGGCGATGAGTATCTCCGGGCGAGCGCCGACTCGGAGGGTGATGAGAGGACCGTACTTGGATTTCAGGTCCCGCAGAACGGGTTCCGGGCGGAAGGAGCGTCGCAGACATGGGATGTTTCCGATCAAGGGAACGGTAAAGGGTCCCGGCGGCAGGCTCTTGTTGGAGAAGAAAAGAGCGAAGAGAGATTTGAGGAAGAAGATCACAAAGAGGGAGCAGAGGAGACTGCATAACCAATTTTCCATTTTCTTCACTTCTCACTCTCTCTCTTTCTTCTTTTTTTTTTTCTTTGTCGAGAAGAAAATGGTATCACCTAAATAGTCTACAAATTATACATCAAACGTCATTAAACTAAAGTTGTTGCAATGGCGAAAATGTCATTGCTGATGCACCTATAGGCTCTGTTTGGTAAACCTAGCTGAAAAGCTATAAGCTATGAGCTGAAAGATGAAAAGGAGTTGAAAGCTCGGAGCTGAAACTGAAGAGCTGTTAAGCTAATTGTTATGATTGAAAGTGTTTGGTAAAATTAGCTTTTTGATAAGCTGATAAATGTAAAAAGACTAAAAAAGACATTTTCATAAAATTTAAATTAGTTTGTTTACATATTAAAATTTAACATTTTGTCTTTAAAAAAAATTAACATTTTGAAATAAAACTATTAGCATAATCATGATTTAGCATCTCTTAATGAAATAGCAATATTGTTGCAAATATAATAATAATAATAATAATAATAATAATAATAATAATAATAATAATAATAATAATAATAATATTTGCGGTGAAAGTTGCAGATAAAAGAGAAGAGAAGGTTTTAATTTGGAAGGGTAAATAATATCATTTTTTTAAAATAATAAGGATAAAGATGGAAAAAATGTTAGAGAGCTAGGAACTTATTTTAAGCTAGGAGCTTATTTTGAGAACATTACCAAACAAAGCTTATAGTTTATTAGTAGCTTAAAATAAGCTATAAACTCTGCCAAACAGAGCCATAATGTTAAAAGAAAATTTCAAAATACAAGATATATATATATATAATTGAATAAGTGAAGTATGATTCTGATATTTAAAAATTAAATGTACATTTCTTGTGAACTTTGATATATATAAAAGGAAGAAAATGTATAATACAACTTTTTTTTTACGACGCCTCCACTGAGGCTCAAACTCATAATCTTTCAAATGGAAATCCAACCCGGGTACCATTAGACCATATGTATAATACAACTTTAATAACATGAAATAAAAAAAATGTTTAATGGAAAGTCAACATAATGAATGATACCAATTTTCATTACCTTTTATAAGATTATATTTTTAGATTTAGATTTAGATTAGATGTAAATAAAATCTATCTCTAAGAGTTTCTTCTCTTCTTCTCCAATTTTCCCTTACTTGGTGATCTTTCGGTGGTTTGCAGTGGGCCTCTGGTCAAAGCTCTGATGGAGCTTTGAGCCGGTGGTGCTTTTCACACCAGATACGGCGATGCAACTTGTTGTCATTCCCACTGGTTTACTCTGGTTTCGCACTTTCATGTCATCAAACCTTTAGATCCAGATCTAAAGGTAAAGAGGTGACTTGGTTTTGTGGATCCATCAAATAAAGATCTAGAGATCTAGAAGTGGTGTAGTGCTGTTTTTCTTTAATTTTCTTTTGAGTTTTGTTATAATTTTGTGTGTTGTGCTTTTTCTCTTGTTCGTGTGACGAGTTTGTTTTTCTCTCGTTCCTTTTGCCGAGTTCTTTTTCTCTTAAGTGTGAAGCATTTAAATGGTCACAACGTATGTGAACTTTATCCTGGTGACAAAGATGACAATGAAAAAGAGTGCTTGCAGTCTAGTTTGATGGACATATTATCAATGAATGGAAGAATGAAAATAGATACTCAGGTGCAAGACTTTTCAACCAAAGTTAGTCTTGACTGCGCTTGATCAGTTCTTCAATAATATTAAAGAAGCGTTAAGTTCTTCAAATGAATTCAACTTCAAATTTGTGAAACAGTCTGCGATTCAAGTTTTCCCTAGCATTGCTAGGGATGTTGTTTCTGTCTGACTGTAAGGAATGTTGTATCATTCCATCGATCATGTTTGTAATGGTTTCAACTTATGATTAAATGAATTAACTTCTTTATTTAAAAAAAAAAATAGATGTAAACATATGGGTCATTTTTTAGCATTTGGATGAAAGAAAAAAATGAATTAACATATTGAAACGTTAAGGACATTTTGATATTTTTAATACAAAGTCATTGACTAGTTATATTTTTTATGTTTATTTTTTGAACAAATTCATAAATGAAGAGCGAAATGTCCTTGTATTTAACGAAATTTCAACAATTTTGTTGATAGAGGACCAAAATTGGTCATGTCACAATAATACTAGGACAAAAAATGGAAGTTCAAATAAAAAAAAACTAATAGTTAATTGTCACCTATAAATCTAGGACTAAAAATGGAATTAACTCAACCGATTGTATTGATGATTAAACGTGTGTGGTCGAATTATAGATAAGATTTAGATAGGTTGATTAAGTGACAAGTTGCCTTTGAAAATTATAATGAGACCTAGTCATTAAGCTAATATACACCATGGTACAATGTTTTTTTTTTGTTTTGTTTTTATTTTTATTTTTTTATTTTTTATTTATCTTTTTTAATATAATGAAATCGATCTAAATTTTTTATAAAAAAGTCTCACACTTGTATCACTAGATTGCAAATCTCAACTTATATCGCGGATTGAGGTCCACTTGAATTAGCGTTATTTTATATTAAGTCATTAACACTTTCACCAGTGCGTCATATTTAATACTTCGTAATATTCAATCATTCATCATGTATCATGCTCATAATATTTGTTCTATATGTTTATAAATTTAAATCTTAATATACATAAACACTAAACTAAACTATATGTACGTCATATCTAATTCTATTGACTTTGTAGTAGGTTGATAATGTTCCGTCTATGTATTCATAAAAACAAAATTTAAAATATATAAATTTACATAGTATCATGCTTACTAACAACTATCATGTACTATATTTATAATATTTGTTTTATGTAATCATTGATGTATATATCACCTATTCATCGATATGATCTTGATGGGTTCACCGGAAAAGAGAATAGCGAAGAGACATTTGAGGAAGAAGACGACAAAGAGGGAGCAGGGAAGTGTGCACAATAACCAGTGTTACGATGAAAAAAAAAACAACTATCATGTACTATATTTATGATACTTGTTTTTATGTAATTATTGATGTATATATCACCTATTCATCGATATGATCTTGATGGGTTCACCAGAAATATTTTTTTTTTTGAATGCTACTGACTCTATTACATTGCAGTATCTTTTTAAAGATACTTTCTCATCATATTGAAACACAAAGAATACCGTATCCACTGAAGTTCGATCTCATGACCTCTCATATGGGAGAGGTCACTACATGTCATCTGAGCACAAAGTGTCTGGCGTAATACCTATTTAATAGCTCATAAATTATAAGTGAGATATCGTTAAACGAAAGTAGCTAGAGGCAGGATGGAGCTTCGAGACGGCAATTTATATCACGGACCAGGGTTCACGTAGCATCGTAGACCCTGGATCAAAACGATGAGGTATAGAATTCACGCTCGTGAAGTACATAATTTAATAACACAAGACACATACACATGTAACATGTTATATATTTATTTATTTTTTAAAAATCTATAGGTACAAAATTTATGTTCATATGCACAGATTTTCACAACAAGACACAAAAATTCATAACATACGACACAATCAACTACTAATTTATTTTAGGTACAGAATTTATACTCTTACAGCACGTTTGGTTCACGGAATGAATTTTAAGGTAATAGGAATGCTATTTCATAAGGAATGGAATATGCAAGGAATATAATATGAATTGTATTCTATTATTTGGTTCGCAAAAGTAATAGACTTTATGAATTATGAGGTGGAGGATAGAGAAGGAGAGAATGCTTTGACTCCAGCAAGTTCATGATTTTTTGTGGCTACCAGGAGAAAGAAAAATGGAAGAAAAGGCGCAGATGTGACCATTTTCGCGCACATACAACGCTCAGTCGGGCTACAAATACGTTCTCCAGGATTTTTCCTCAATTGTGTTCCGAAAAAATAACCAAAACGCCACATATATATACTATATAAACCTCTTGTACATAGCCAATTATATTCAACACAAGACTAACTGTATAAAGTGTAAACACAAACCATATGCAGTTCTCCAACATAAACACGGTGTGTGCACATTAGAAAACATGCATAATTGGCAATACTTATAAATTGACATAAGTGGATATATATATATATATATAGTCAGGTTCTTGTGTCGCCATGCGGTCACTCACCTATAGGTACACAAAAATGCATTACAAAGGGTTCAGAAATGCACCATTATTAGGTGTAGTGCATATGCATTTTTGTTTTGGTGTCTGGTGCATTGGTGCATTTCATTTGCATTTTTACATACTTAATGGTGAATCCGCATCGAGAAATATATATATATATATATATATATATATATATATATATATATATATTCTAAGATTGAGAGGATCTTAGATGAAGTCGAGCACGAAGAGGATTCTTCATCACAACTGTGAACTCTAGTTCTTCTTCAAGATCCACTTTTTCTCCTTCCACAGATCTCCATTCGAAATACCAAACCAGATTTGCCAGAAAATACTCGAGATGCAGCATGGCCAAACCCCAGCCCGGACATATTCTCCGGCCGGCTCCAAATGGCATCATCTTGATTTCTCTGCTCCCTGTTATGTCAAACATTTCGCCGCCGGCACCTTCGTTCTCGCCGGCAGCCAAGAATCTCTCCGGCTTGAACTCCAACGGGTCATCCCACACCTTCGGGTCCAATCCCATTTCCGCCACCATGAAGTTGATCGCGGCGTTTTTGGGGATGGTGTAGCCATTCAGCTCCGCCTCCTCTGTCACCGTGTGCGGCAGCACAAAGTGGCCGGGAGGGTGGCGCCGGAGAGCTTCTAGGACCACCGCTTTCACGTACCGCATTTCCGCTAGATCTTCCTCCCGGACAATCTTCCCGCCGGGGGAGATTTGCGGCGGCGGCGGCCCCATGACGGAGGATATTTCCCGGTAGACCTTTTCTTGAATCTCCGGGTGCTTAACTAGATTCGCCATGATCCACTGCAACGCGGTGGCCGTGGTATCCGTTCCGCCGCTGAGAAACTCACTGATCAGGCT